AAATCCAAGAATTCAAGATAAGCAAGGGATCCAAGAGTCTAGGATTAGCAAGACTCTTCCAAGATTAGAAAGATAATGCAAAACTCTTCCAAGATAGAACAAGACTCTTCCAAGATTATCAAGAAAGACTCTAAGAAGCATCAAGATTAGCAAGATAATCTAAGATCCATGCACCTAGGGAGATCGGACGGAGGATCCTATCAAATTAGATGTTTAGATCTATCCTAGTTATTATTTCCTAGTTCTTTTACAATTTCCAAATGTATTATAAATACTGTTATTTTCCCAAAGTAATTCATCAATTCATACTTCAGATTTTCAGATTTTATTGAGTTCTCTTCTTTGAGTTTTTGCCACATTTTCTCTCTCCTAGAGAAATCGGTGTTATTCGCTAGGTGCTAGCGAGCACCCGGTGCTTGCATAGCCAACTCCGGTTCTCATTGCTTCCACGCTGCGTCAAGAAGCTTCGGTTATTAATTAGCCATTCAATTGGTAAACAGTGGAGGCAATCCACAGCATTGAAGATTTTGGACTAGCTCTGTACCTCATAGAGCGAAGTCAATAATTCTCTATAGAATAATGAAAACTAGCTATCGAAGGTACACATATCAGACACACACACACGTTAGGTACCGTAGTCTTTTTCATGTGCTTTGACTATCTATTCTCTGCAACCCATTTGCTACTTTCGTCACACTGTAATCCTCTAATGTGGTTCAAAAATCTCATTTCATTCAGGGCATGAAACCATCCCTTTCTACTTTAGTTCTTTTGGTGAAAGTTTCATGAAGTTCAACATATGGACCTCACCACGGAACAAATCTTCACCAGAGAATAGTACCTCCAGAAGATGCATTTTTAAGATGGCTAGTTTTTGGTTGATGCGTTGGTTCAAGATCAGTTAGGTTTAAGAGAGAATGTCAAGAAAAAGAAAATAAAAAAAGTTTAGTAAGGTATTATGGTAATTTAATGGCTTCCATCATCTGACTTTGCAATGTAAAAGTTTAGGGGGGTTTTTGTTACAAATTAAAGTACAGGGGGCTTTTGTCACAGACCCCATAGTACAAGAGGGTCTTTATAATTTATCTAAAATATTAATAAGATGGTTTCAAGTCATTCTCTTGATTCTTCACCAACTGCATAAACTTTCCTTGGGCTGCGTTTGGTAGGGTGTAAATTTAGATTATTACACCAATGGGTTCATGAGAGTGTAAAATGGGAATTGGATGTTTGTCCCATTTAACACTCTTCTCATTTGGTAAATCATTGATGTAAAAGTCCACTGCAACCAAGAGATTGTAGTCCTTGCCGGTCAGCCAAAAAATAGAGCACTATGAGCGGCGGTGAGCGGTGTACCAGACCCAGAAACTGGTGATCGAGTGTTGCAACAAGAGAGGCTCTCGTACGTGAGTGGTGTATTAGACCCAGTTCTTGCGCTTGGCCACTTCTGTTGAAGCTCCATACAAGATTATAATGGGATCTTGCAATCGCACGAGTGGATGATCTTGAGTTCTGGTTAAGGTACAACTATTGCTTCCTCTGGGTGGATGTGTGCTTGCCTATGCTCCACTCGTCTGTGTCCAAGCGAGTGGACCGCATGGTTGAGGCTGGGTTGGTGGACGGTGTGCAGAGGTTCTTTGAACAGGAAGCCGACTATTCTCGAGGAATCAGGTGAGCCATCGGGGTGCTGGAGATGGACAGGTTCCTCTGAGCAGAAGCTGCAGCACCGACGGATGAAGAAACCCTGGCAATACTCCTTTAGGAGGCAATCGAAGGAGATCAAGGTGAATACCTGCACCTGCACGTTACCCCGTTGCCAATTGTAGAAAATTTATCGGCTGAAGGAGCTGCTACGGGGGAAAATGCACTGCCTCGATGCCACCGAAGTGTTCTTGAAGCACGACAAGGAAGTAGAGGAGGCCTGGGAGAAGCTAGTGACAGGGCCAGGCACCAACATCATCAGGCATTTCTTCTACAAAGCCGAAGACGATGCTCCCACCGTCTTCACCGCTGTGGCAACCATCAAAGCGACAGTCATGGGGAAGGCAATCATTGTTGTTCTCGTTGCCACCTCTTCGTTCTCGTCGGAGGAAGATGATGAATAGATAACCACTGATGTCACCGCCTCTCTGTTCTCTATTCTCATCGACGGTGAACCTTTCCCCGGCAACCACTGTTGTCACTACCTCTTTGTTCTCGTCGGAGGAAGAGAGGAGAAGAGAGAGAGAGAAAGCAATGTAATAAATACATTGATAATTTTAATGTATTTATTATATTGATTATGATATAATTAAACAATAAAATGTAAAATTACATAAATCATGCACATTTACATGGACTTTGGTATGAAAACGTGGTTGTGCACTTATGCCATATGATATAGAGAAGATATAAGAGATTTTTTTTTTTCTTTTTCAAGTATTATTTTCTCCATGCATGCATAATTCTAGTGAACCTTAGCTTTTCCATGATGCTTGTTTGTTTGTTAATAATTTTGTAATTCCTAAAGCTGATAAAAGATACCATCACATAATAATAATGACTTTCTGAGTTAAACTATATGGACCAATAATCATTAAGTGGAAATTGTGTTTAGTAGTCTCAACTAGAGCTGTAAATTGGGCCGTGCTGCCCACAGTTCAATACAGTCCGACACAATTTTGGTCTGGTTTGGCAAGGCCTGGCATGACGACATGTGGGTCATGTCAGGCACCACATGATGGAATGGGCTGTGTTGGATTTGGGTTTCTAGGCCCATGTCCGTATGACACGATTCAGCGGATGTATCGCTCACAGCCCTATATATATATTATAAAATTTTATTTTCAATTTTATTATAATATTTCATTTTATTATTATATATATAAATAAATGTATACATCAAAATTCATATAAAATACAATTTTAAGTTTTTTTTTTAAATTTTGTCTATTTTGTTAATTTATTTTAGAGTTTTCATTATTTTGGTCAATTTCTTTTTAAAAATATATCTCTCGTGGCTTGGCCCGATTCATGGCCCAGCCTGATGTCCAAGGCTCAGCCCACAGCACGACATGGCACGAGCCCGCCTAGGCTCAAGCCGTGGGCCATGCTAGGCCGACCCCCTAAAATATTATAGAGGAGAGAAGCATGGCCCACTAAAAACATGAACTGCCAATGAGCGGCATAGCCCAGTTTACACCTCTAATCTTAACCCTCCTGTTAAGGAATCACAATTCAACTCTAGACTTTGAACTTTATCTCCCCCGGGCTCAGATTGGGAAGAGTATAAATGCATGCTCTAGTAATGGAAAACAAATTTAGATCGGTAGGATTCATGATATTCTTCTCTTCTCACAATCTTCCTCCCAAAACACCATTCTTCATTCTAATCGATCCCCTGTTCCAAATCGACAAACAGACATTGTTTTCCTCTATTTTTGACAGAATCTGAGGTGGACGATTACCCCTTTATTCATCTTTTTTTGCGCACAAGTAACAGTGGGTCTCTTACCTCATCCAGCTTCCGTACACACAGGTAATAGGTGTTATGTTCCTTGCTCTGTTTTCTGACATAGTCCAATCAAGGACTGTAACAGTGTAACTAAACAACTATATAAGCTGATTGGAATGGGTTTAGTTCATTCTCAGTTGTATACTCCAAAAAAATCATGGTGAGATTTCAGTTCGTATGCTTCAAAAAAATCAAGGACTGTAACATTGTTCATTTTTTACCTCTTACAATCCATTCATCAGCACGCCGCCGCCTCCGACAATGTTGCCGGAAGTGGGTGGAGGCAGAGGCGGTGGCGGTGGCGGTGGCGTTGGTGGTCATTCCTCTACCCAACGCCACCACCTCAGCCCACCAGCACCGCCGCCACCTCTGTTCCACCCACCTCCAACAACGTTGCCGGAGGCAGAGGCGGAGGTGGCGGCGTTGGGCAGAGGAATGACAATCAGCGCTGCCTCTGCCTCCGCCTCCGCCCATCTTTGGCAACGTTTTCAGAGGCGGAGGTGGCAACGTTTCCAGAGGAAGAAAATGAACAGTATTTTTTATCATTGATATTATTTTTAAAAGGTTAACATATTTTTAAATTTTTTTAAAAATACTACTTTTATTGATATTAGAACCTAAAAATTGTCCTTTATGTGCTATAATCCCAAAAAACAATCGTTGCCTTCAAATTTAAAAAATAGTATTGATGTGGTGCTGGACGGCGTGGTTCCAATGGCTCAGTTAAGAAGCTCAATATAACATGGGGGTATATATCTCTTGTAGATCCACTTAACTCTAAAGAACTTTTTAAGTGAATGAGTTCCACTTAATTCTGAAGAACTTTATAACCAATCAACCACTACCGTAACCAATTCAAGAGGCGTTGACCTTGACCAGGACGAAA